ATTACTCCGTGAAGGAGGTCAGGACCTCCGGACGGAGTGTTGTAATCGGCTGATTTTTCATGTTCGCAGTCAAAACACTGGGTTCTCTTTGTGTAATCGGCACGCAATTTTATACGCCGTCTGCGGGCATGCCCGTGTTGATGCACGAATGTGTATTTTTGCCGTTGCTGCTTTTTGCGGTCAATGTAATATTGCAGACGCACCCCTACAATTACGAGGCGAATTGGAATGGTCCAGAAAAACGCGTTGTTTGGAATAGCAGTGGGGGGGGTAAAAGTTCATGCAGATACGGGGTGGTTTTTTTAAGTGGTTCCAGATGTTTTTGCCCATGGTTAAGAGATGCCAGGTTTTTTGGAAGATGTTCGCAGCCAAAACGCATTCTTCCGTACGTCGCATTTCTGTGTAATTTCGCATGTGGTGTGGCATTATGTCCGGGGATGATGCACGTCTTTTTATTTTTACCGTAGCTGTTTTGATATTGGAGAAAAATGCTTATTTTCGAAACATCCCCATTTCTTTGAAATGTTTTCGTCCGTTTATGCAACTGTTACTAATTGCAGGGACTGCGCTGATGCCGACCAGTCGCGCTGTCCTGATACACCGCGAATGTGCGAGTGTTCCCTGTAGACAGTCCCGGGAGTCATTTTTTTTCGCACATTCCAGGAGCCAAACCAAAATACGTTCATGAACCGAGTCCAAAAAACCGAAACGTGAAAATCGGATGATCGGACCTGATGTACATTTCTCTTTCTGTAGATTGTATACACAATACACACATCTTTAGATAATCTGGCCATGGCAGGTTAAAAAAAAAGTAACCCTGAATCATACTAGATTAGCGTAAATGCATGTTAATGCGTTCAAAACAAGAAAAGAAATTGTTTCCGGGTATTAATCTCTTGAATCACGGCGCTGAATATTGACGCAAAAATATTTCCGGCATCACGCGCCCTTCCCCGTTGTTACCTCCATGAAAAATGGAGGTATTGTTTTTGGCGTGTCTGTCTGTATGTCTGTCTGTCTGTCTGTCTGTCTGTGTGTCTGTGTGTCTGTCTGTCTGTGTTTCCGCAACTTTGTAGGCGGCATAACTTCATAACGCCTTTATGGATTGTGATGATATTTGGTATGCTGATAAGTCTTAGGAAGACAAAGGTCAAGGTCAAATATGGGCCTCCTGGCGGATGACCTTGGTACTGCAGCAGAACTTCCGGCTTTTGTATCTTTTGTTCTGAACAAGCTATGGTCTTGACTTTTTGGTGACAGATAGCTTATCTTGTCAGGAATAAGTGGCGTAAGTTTGGTCCCCCTAGCAGCTTGTTCTGGAACTGCAGGTTAGTTTCTGGTAAAAACTTTCAAAGCCAATAAGTCTAGATTGGAACAACGTATTTTCATCATTTTTGGTGTGTAGGTACTTAAAAGACAGTTGTACATGATTAAATGCAAATTATGCAAATGCGGACTTAATTTGCATAATTAATGAGGAAATTCTATAATTACAGTGTTTCATATAATGGTACTGCTATACATGTAATCTATTTAATCTGTGGCAGGCGGAACATCAACAGATACCAATTATGCAAATGATGACCTAATTTGCATGATTAATGTGAAAATTCTGTAAATTCTTATTGGTGAATGATGGGAATTTCATACCTTGTAACGTGTAAGTTACTTAAAGGTTTGCATCGCTATGCATGTATTATGTTAATGTAGAGGTTATTTGCATAATTTATGAGGACAAAGTAAGCCCGTATTTCATGGAGGTATGAGATCTCTGAACTCTTGTTGTATTTGCAGATAGACGTATTCAAATGAAAAGTAAGGAGAAAAAACGATTCGTGTAAAGCAAAGATAAAAGTCAGGTAAAGTTGGCCTGGTAAACAGACCGTCGTGACTCCACGATCTTGTCGGCGCAAAGAGTTTGCCCGGCCGCTAAGCCTCCCGTTAAGCGCACGCTAGGCATTTTAATTAGGGAGCTGTTGTAATTAGAAAAGCAGGGTAAAGAATATCGTGTCAACGGAAATGCCTTTGCAAAAAATATGGAGCTGAATCACTCAAAAGCCAAATTTGGCTCATAAAAATGGTTTCCATACCAGGCAGGGATGACTATGATTACCTTGGCCAGCTCAATTTTCACACCAAATTCTTATACGATGAATGTTACAGGTCAGAGGCGATCTACCATCATATTCTGTCTATAATAGCCTGCCTTATGTCCCCGTCGAAATGTTGACAGGATGTTGGCTTCCAGCCATTTTGAACATTAACGATAGAATTGTGATACCAGAGTAAAGTTTTTGCCCTATGGGGATTTCTATAGTAAAGGTCCCCAAGGTGACTCACTTCGACGCGGTGAAATATAGTAGAGAAACACGACCAACAAATATGTTGAAATTTATGTTATAACAAAAAAAAAGCTAAAAACAAGAAAAGGTTATTTTTTACCGTTTTGACGACCTCTTTTATATGAACACCTGTGGAGGTCAACGGGACTACAGCGGCTCACTCTGGAACGTATTTGCCGTAATTCGACGCAGTTATACACGAACAGGAAAATCTTCCAAATTCCAAACCATAATGTCAAAAAGTGGAAACATTTTTATACCACAGAGTGAAGTTTACTTCTGGCTACCTCTCACAAGTCATAATAGTCAAGATTCAAGAAATTAAACCTGCACTATTTTGTACAACGGCACCATAGGGGTCGCCCATAAATATAGTAACATAGGGGTCGTCCATAAATACCGTGTCCTGCGACCTTGTCAGATAGGAGTGGTGGTGCGCGGTGTATCCTGGGATGTACCAATAACATGGTGACATCTTTAGTCAAAGGTTACGTTGCCCATGGCAACTGATCTCTGTGGGAATTTGTATTGAAGAACCATTAAAGTAGTGTCAGAAACTTTCGCCGTGATTAAAAAAAGGATGTTGTTAATGAACCGCGTGTAATAAAACATTGCATTTTGAACATAATACTTTAAAGTACTGTCCTTAACCTTGCCCTTCTGGCATTCCTAGCGCAATATTTTTCAATAATTTCATGTCTTGATTAAATCATATACCCCTAGATTTTTTGCCCTGCAGTGGCATAGTTACTTCCTCATTCTTGCGTTTCGCTGCGGTGTGATGCGTTGCACGAGAAATACCCCCAAATCGTACCTATACAGGGTGCTAGATAGATGGTACTGTATGTGCAGAACAACAATTGTTGTGCTCTGCAGGACAAGGTTAACAACGAAAGGAGACATGGCCATAATCTGTTCAGAATGATATATAACTAAATCGGCTGTTGGGAAGGGTTCTGTATATGTTACAGTCATTACCGTCGCCAAGAAGGTTATGTTTGTGCACACGATTTCTGATCAAACTTACTGAACAGATCGAAAAAGATAATGAACAATCAGCCGACTATGTCTATAATGGCCTGTTTTATGTTTCCGTCCACAGGTTGACAGGTTCTTGGCAGTCCGCCATTTTGAAACTTGATCATCGGATCGGTGACGGTGACGGTGCGCGGTGTATCCTGGGATATCTGGATATACCAACAATACAGCGGCCTCATTGACCAAAGGTAACCTTGCCTGTAACAATGGATTGCTGTGGACAATAATCGAGCGGTAAACGTCACATTTTCACTGTGAAGTCAGATACTGGGCAGCGCGCCTACTGTAAAAAAGAGCTAGGGCGAATGTATATGGTCAATGGATTATAACATACTACATATACTATCCAACAAAGCATATCGCATACACATGTATATAGAAGATAACAAACGCAGGATGCGTTTCTTTTTCAATATGGCAGTAATATTTTACGACATATTCGAGCTATTTTTTTCGGTAATGCTTTTTTGTTTTACATTTTTTTTGTAACCGTTAAACATTCTAAGATAACCAATGTTTAGATTTGTTGTTTTTAAAGAAAAACACAAACTATTTATTCTCAATTCTTTATTACTTTCGTGCTGTTCCTTTTAAAGTGAATGAAGTTATCTAAAAGTGCTAAATTATAGTAAATTCTGTTTTAAACACTTTTTAACACGAAATTTACAACTACGAACAAACCAAGGAAATAATGTGTAACTCCATTCATTTATTAACAGTGTGTAACTATATGTTGCATTTGGGTGTTCAAGGAGCATGTATCTCAAGGGCGACACTTGTCTACACTATTGCAAAATTATAAGAAGAGTAAAAAGATACTTTTTGGTCATTTAAATGGATTATGCAATAGATCTGTTTTTATGACCCTGGCATTTGAGGTTGGCTCGATATTCCTTTCATAAATTTACTACATGTAATGCCGTTCAAAAGTCTGAAATAATCCATTTCTACATTACTGCCTCAACGTGATTTCGTCAACTACAAAAGTTTCTTAAATATCTAAGGATGAAAAATAATGCGATTTTAAATTAGAATGAGGGCGAGGAAATACTTTTCCAAGGTGACTAGCCTGATGAATACTAGTACATTGGATCAAGGACAGCATTTATGGAAACCTCTACTAGTCTTTGTTAACGGCTGTCGCCATTTCTGATATATCATAACTAAACATAAGTCTAAAAAGCAACTCGTATCTTGGTAGAAAATCCCATACTAAACAATTCCAGTTCAGATGTAGTCTTTCCACGAAAATACGGACGTGATTACAGGCATGGTATTTTCCGTTGTGTCGGTAGGTGTCGCTTTAGCCTTACTTAGGGACAAGTCCAGTGGCACCTCCTGGTGCAACACTGGTGGCGATAACGCCATCGGTACCCACACCGAACAGAAACCGACGTTATACGTTGGTCCGACAGTGGCAGTTCCTCCATTCGATTGTCGATCGAAGGCAGGCGACAGTTCTTCTGACCATTCCATGTTATTATGACTGGTGGCGGCAGTCTCTGTTGGAGTATGTTCTGGTACAGGGCAGTTGTCGCTGTTGCCACTTCCGAGGAAAACCCGCCGCCTCTTCTTTAGGGGGTTTGTTGTGGGTTTGTCAGCCAGTGGTGATACGGGTGGAGACTTCCGCTTGCCGTATGTCCGTAGTTCCTGTGGCGGTGTGAGCAGCCCATCGCCCTGGTGCCTTTCGTCTGTCTTCACGTGGACAGAGTTACAGTTCTCGCCACCATCTTTGACCTGAGACACGAAATCACCAATCCCCGAAGAGAGCTTTGGTGGGTGCTCTGTCAGTCCCGACATGGCGGTCTCGCGAGATTTTGGGGTGTTGGTCTCACGAGATTTGGTGATGTGTACGTGCCCCATCATCACGTGGTGGTAGAGGTCCATAGGGTTGGGGTCCGAGTAGTCGCACAGGAAACAACAGTGGTCGAAAACACGCCTGTCGTAGTGTTTCACCATCCGACAAACTTTGCATGACCTTGAGCAGGTGTACGTCCCTTTGTCAACAAAGGACTTGTCACCGCTGTGGCCCATATCAGGATGGATGTGCCGCCTAGCGATGTGTTGGTGAAGTGCAGGTTTGCTGGCTGCTGAGACACCGCAAACAGGACAGTGCCTGGTGCCGAGGTGCGACTGGAGGTGATACGACAGCACTGCGGGACCAGTCCGCGTCACAAAGGTACAAAATCGGCAGGAATAGGCCGCTCCTATGGTACGCCTGGAACAGATGATAATTCAAGTTAGGTCTGACTGGGTTGACATTCAAGTAACCTAATGAATTTACGTATGAAATTACTCCATGATCTTCTCAAACAACCAGCATGCACATAATAATAACACTGCAAGAGGCAGTCAACCATTGAAATAATGATGTTCTATACAGGTTAGTTGAAATACACACGTCTTAGCCTCTTGTACCGACTTCTAGAGGGGTAGGAGTTGTTTCTATGAACGGCTAAAGCTGTGTTTATTTTCGAAGCGATGCAGCTCTACCACCAACAAAAACAAGTGTCACGACTTTCCCCTAAAAAACAAAGTTCAAGTCTCCCGTAAACGTAAGAAATAAGGGCTTTCCTACTAGAGACTTCCAAACACACAAAGCAGACCTCAAAACGCAAAGACATGTACAATGTGACCAATCTTTGTAGCAGATTAGGAATCACCCTAGTTATTATTTTGCACTTTCGGTATTTATAAATTACTACACAACGATTCCTTTAGAAATTCAGTACATGGACAAAGTTAACAATGCACCCTATTAATTTAATCTAATTTACTACCGTAACGCTACGTCAAGGTGACAAGGAGATAGAAGCTCCTTGGCTACATCTCCTGCATGTCGGTTTGTTTTGGTTTGAAATTGCAGGCGGCGGAGTCTACTGAACAGTTAGTAGCATACTGTAGTTTGTCATACTGTACATTGTTTTTAGAATCAGAGGTGGCTAGGCAGTCAGGGGAGGGGGGAATTCTCTCGTGAACGAGGATTCTAAAGCTCTAGCGATCTTGCCCCCAGGGGGGGGGGGTGTTAATCGCTACAAGTATCACACCGGTGCACTACAAGTATCACACCGGTGCACTGTGCATAAACATGCAAGTAAGACCCACCCCCAATGTCCAGACAAGGGCCACTAGACAGTCACACCCTGCTGCCTACAGAGTGCCCCAGTGCCCCAAAGTAGGACCTCCGACAGACAGAACTCCTTCTTCCCGCGGACAATTCCTGACTGGAACACTCTGGACGCAGACATTGCCCTCTCCTCCCCTCTGGAGGAGTTTAGGGGCAAGCTGTGAAATCTGACCTCTTCGGCATGCACCCACCACCATAGGAAGCAGAATCTTCAAACCGCTGAAGGCGGCTTCCTCAACAGAAAGAAGAAGAAGAAGATCGCTAGCGATCTCGCCTCGGGTGGGGTGGGATGTGGGTGAGGATGTGGGTGGGGGTGAGGATGTGGGTGGGATGTGGGTGAGGATGTGGGTGAGGATGTGGGTGGGGGGAGGGGGAAATCACTAACGAGGACCAAATCGCTAAATTATGATTTCCCCCGGGGGTGGGGATCGCTGTGACACCGGCAGTACAATCTTATTTACCCAAACCTCTTTTTGTTTATCCACCCTATATATTTATGTCCAGCAATAATAAACAGATCCACATCACATAAAGTATAAATTTTACGTACCTTCTTCTAGGCTTATACGGCCGATTCACCACCAGTTGATTGTGATCCTTGCTCATTTTTTTCGCAGAAATCCACACGCAACGGGACACAAGCGCAGTCAGGAGACAGGACTCGGAATGGCGGCTCTAGAAAAAGTGTCCAGGTTTATACTCGCCGGTACGCGGGTCTTTTAAATAACAATAGCGTGCCGACAGACAGACAAGGCATAGTCCATTGTTCGCTGGGGGTTCGGGAATCTATGCATAACAATGACACTGGAACAAAGTTACCCGTGTCAGTGTAGTAGCACAATACTTGTTTACATATAAATAGTAAACATTCTTATCACACCTCAATTTAGTTTTATATTTTTTAAAATGTTTCATATTCTTAAGAATTGAAAGTAGCCTTGGCATTGTTTGTTCCCAAGAGGTACAGAACTCTTATTAGCATGGTCGTTACTTGGATCTGCAAATTTAGACGAACGGGCCAGGGTGAGTTGATTGTGTCAATAGCATCAATTTCAGGTCGTTTAAAAAGGTTTGCCACCGTACCTTACAAAGATACCGAATGCGATGATGATTTGTGAATTGAACAGAAATATTGGAAATATTACTCTAATTCCGTAGAATACAATTTTATCATATTTTTGTGAAATAATGTCTTAAGCCACAGAAAAAGAACATGATAAAAAACAAAAATATAGACAATATTCCTTTTTTTCATATCTCACATACCATGTTCTGTGTTTTAATTTTTTCTACTTCATGATTTCCTTTAGAATTCATAATGAAGTTAGCTTTATTTAATTTTTGTCAATTTTTTTCCTCGCTCCCTTGTCAGATCAAAAAGTTTTTTTAACATATATACATATACATGTAAATGACATTGCCTAGGGCCTTTGAAAAACAATGGCACGACGACAGACAATGCATAGTCCATTGTCTGTCGTCTCGAAAAACGGGAGTCTATACATGACAATGGCGAAACATCATAAAAAATAAAGAAAAGTTTGGCAAAAAAAATTTCCTTCATTTTATAAAAACTACGTGGTTGCAGAGGTTGAAGAAATTACTAAACACACAGATTATGGTATGAGGAAAAAATAATACACCATCCTTTCTCATTTCTTCACATTTATTCTTTCCTGTGTTGATTTTGGCACTAGTGATTACATTAATATCGATTTCCAATCCGTTTTTCGCAACATACGACATATATTCGCTCATTTTGTACGATGTACAGTGTTTACAGTATAGCCAAAACGTTTTTAAACGAACGAAAAATTCACATCTTTATGATCAAATCAACACGGCCTTGCTGCTCTTTATGTAGCTACCGCGTATTGCTTTTTGAATTGGATAAAAAAAAACACCCCGTTATGCATGACTCCGTAATATGTGAAGTAATCCAACCGGAAAAGTCACATTGCGTTCAGATTGAATTCGTAATACTATAAATAATACCAATATTGAATACTTCAACCAAATCTCGTCTACAATTTCAAAAGAACAAAAAAAAATTGCTTCCATACCTGTGTGCACATGTATATGTTTTCTACCGTGCTACATGTACCGTCGCGACGTTACCTTTTTAAGTTATTAATATTCGACCATCTCCTTCAGCAAAGTCACTAGCAGAAGTCAAATGACCAATACTTTGTTTTTGAAATGCTTATAAGTGTAGAACATATCACTTTTAAGTTGCTCAATTTTTTTTCAGAAGCAAATGAAAACAACAACAACAACAAAGAAACCTATATTTAACACAAAGATTTATACATATGATTTAGGTAACTAAGATTAACTCCGTGAGTATTCTCTTTGCTCGATCGAAACAGACACAAACACACCAAAAAATACCTCAACTTTTTTAATGGAATCAATAATTACAAGGACAAAGAGGAAAGTACTAGCCTGGAATAAGGTCGTCTAAAGATATCAAGCAAAGGCTAGTTTGACTCTTTTACAGCTGCGATTAAACAGCACCCCCCCCCCCGGCAAAACGTATGAAGCATAAGAAGAAGAAGCCCGAGTTGCATATGAAAGGTAAAAATAGAATTGTTTGCAATTTTCTAGCATACTGTCAGGTGAGATTAGGCAAACGTGCAAACGCAATCTTTGCAAATTTTATATAATTGTGCAAAATAGAGTCATGCTTAACTTAATTCCATACGACAATATACTTTTTCTGGTAATTTTGTTGCCATTAGTTTCCAGATTTTTTAACTGTTAGCATTACATTATTTAAGTCCATTAATATTTTTTTAAGACTTTGCAGTTTCAAACATGTATATCACAATGAACTGCAGTACGCCTGAGTAAACATATCAAACAAACGATCAAATAGACTTATTAGAATATTATAGAAGTTCACCAAAGCAATCAGAAGTACTAAAATACTTTAACGTAAACTTAATTTAACTTTAATGAAGTCAAAAGAAAAAAAAATATGCTTCTGAGATGATAATATAAAGAACAACACAACAATAACACACACAGGTACCCATCTACATTGCCAACTCAACCAACTTAAAAAAAAACTTGAAACACACATACACACACAATCGAATTGAAACAATTATAGTGATAGGTACGTCAAGAACACTAACTTTTCAATAAAAATAATACAGATAATCCTTGTTTTTTTATATTAGACTAAGCAGATATAGACTCATGCAAATATTATTTCAATTCCTTCCCTTTGCTTAATCATGAAGTACTTTGCTTCAAAATGCCATGCCTGTTTTTAGAGTGGTGCAATAGGCTTGTAGTTTTGCAGACGCCGTTGGTCTTTTAGAAGTCGGCCTTGGGAAAGCTAAGAAACCTTTTGGTTTTTACGTTATGAAAAGTGGGCATTGTTTGGAGCGCGTGTCTCTGTGAGCGTTTTCTCGGAGAAAAGCGATAGTTGAAACTCTTGATCTCTTTTGGCAGGTTGAGACTTTGGGTTTTTCTGTTCATCATCGTCTTTATCAACAGCTGCATTGACACTGTATTTCCTGAAAAAAATGAAAACAAAAACTAGAATAGTAAAACACCGTACATTATTCATAGAGAGATGTGATATTACATCTGCTGTAACGCATACAAACACTAAGATGGTGTTATACCCAGGGAAAATGCTCCGGTTATCCGAACAAACCTAAAAAAAGCTACGACCCTAGCCATTTTAGGGGGTCGACCACCGACGAGAAAAAAAAAAATTATTATTACTGACATTATAGTAGTGCGTACCAGACCACTTAACTAATAAGAACCGAATTCGAAAAGTCAAAAGAGCAAAATATTAGTGTACTGATGCATTTCAGTGTTGTATTAACTTTGTATTTGTTGGATGACTTTGGGTGAACTGTCTATATGAAAATTGCATACCTTCCCACTTACAATATTTTTTCTTGACCGTAATAGGTTTCAAAGAATTTGACAAAAATAACCGCTCTCGTTAAATACTCTAGCCGTCCTCGGATATTATCACTTTGCACTAAAAATTGCAGTGCTCACTATGACATGTTTTAACGTTTTCTAATGAAACCAATAAAGAAACTAATCGTTGTCTTACCAGTACGTAAGATTAAGTTTTTGACAAAGTTTTTGTTGTCAAAAACTTTGCTTGGACAAGAGTTCGAAGAACTACGATTCTACGAACCAAAGATATTGCTGAGTTTCTGATCTTAACCCCGAATTGGTTGCAACATTTTTACTGTAGATATTTAAGCGGAGGAATGAACATTAGATCCCAAGACAGGGATATAATTGTTTTTAAACATTAAAAGTAGCATATTTTGCCTTAAAACATTGACATGCTTACCTTTTAGTTTTGCACATGAATGCTCCAATGCCAGTGCCAGTAGCAATTATCAGGATAAGGATCACAACAACAATAGCAATCGTCATGGTGTCCGCAGAGTCATCTAGGTGGTAAACATATATAAGGTAGTATAGAGTCAAAATGTTATAGGAGACTTAATCATACAGGAAATGATAACCATAAGATGTTGGGACCTTGCTTCATGTTCATAGTTTTTATTGTAAATAGCTAATGGTACTCCTAGATCCTGATACCTCTGAAGTGTGGCTAACGTCAACTTATAATATTATTTTTATAAAGTATGATCTTAAGGAATTAAGCTAATGTGATGCTGGTCATTAATATGATCAGCGCATTTTTTTTTTCATTTGTCCAAATATTAAGTCATTAAGCACGTGGTATGCTATCAGGACTATCGATTCAAATAAATGATTTGAATAATTCGTTACACGATAAATTTTAAAGTGGCTGATAAAGTTACAGAATTATTGCCAAATAACAGCCAAATCTTATTAGGGTGTTTGTAAGAACTACATCACATCTACAACAAAATGACATCTCCGTGTATGATTACATGTACCTTTGACTTCCTCCGTATCACCAAAGTCGTCAGGAACCAACGATGATGTAGTTGACGTGACGGATGCAGTGTAAACTGGACCATTTGTCATCCAGGCAGTGGAAGCTTCTTCGGTCGGTGACATTGGTCCAACTGTAAGAATCAAGGACTGACATTCAATCTTTATTTAGTGTGCACAGAGCATCTGGTGACTTTCTACTTGGACAATTTTAGCCACATGCGTTAGAAATCACATTAATCCATGGAACAAAACTGGACTTGAAACAGTTTGCTATCATATACACGTCACAAGTCTACAAGTTTGCTATCATATACACGTCTACAAGTTATCATCTACTACGGCCTATCTTGTATTGATGCTCAAAACAGTAGTGCCAGGATACTACATTGGTAAAAAGAAATCTATGGAATTAAGTAATGTATTTGAACGTGTAATAAAAGACATCGCATTTAATGACGGCTCCGAGTGCCTAGATGCACGCCCCAGCAATTTGTAATGGCTAACACTAAACATGTGCTTTTTGTCTTTTGATAAATCATCATTCTAGCTTCAAACGATCTTAGCAGTCTTGTTAATTTATTACGTGACTATTTTTATTTCTTTGTTTTAGTAGTAAGGAAAATGATTTTTGATATAAAGTGTTTAAATTTTAACTGTATTATTCAATTTAAACTTTAAGACATGTATTGTCAATTTGATGAGAAGGTGTGTTACGCACATTTACGATCCTGACTAGGGGCATGGTTGGGCGTTTTGCGGGAACGAAAAGTATGGTGTACATGAAAATACAACGTACTGATAAAGATAATTATGAACAAAATTTGTAAATATTTTAGTAAATTACGACTTGTCCACTTACATTCGGTCAAATATTCTGACCAGGCTCTGACCAGGTTTTAAGCATAATTACCTATCGTCACGTAGCAGTCGGAGTTATTGTTAGACCCTACTCCCACTGTTGTAAAACCTTCCGGGCAGAAGATACAGGACATCTGTCCTTCAAGCTCTTGGAATGACCCTTTAGGACACCTGACGCACATCTTGTTTTGGTAGTAGGTGCCAGATGCACAATATACTGAAAAGGTAAGTAAAACGGTTATTAATATATTACAGACAGGGCATAATGCATTAGATGTATGACATCAAAATATGTATACTGTAGCGTTTTTTATGTTATTTTTTCGATATTTAGCTTTTACTAAAAGTTTTAGCCAAAACCTTTAAAAACCATTATTCAAACATAGCCTTTGTCTCTAATGCAGAAAAATGATGTATGTTGGTATAATTTTGAAGATCTAAACATGCTATGTTAAGTGTAATGAAAAAAGGCCATTTGGTTCCTATAATGTAGCCTGTACGTACCAGGCACCTCGTATCGCTGAAAAAATTGTAGAAATCGGCCGAAATAAATTGATTGTATACCAGAGAAGATCCCGGGCCATAGAAGATCCAATTCGCGACCCACGGATGGCCCGGAATCTTCTCTGGTATACTATCCCTTTATTTCAGGCAATTTCTACTATTTTTCCAGCGATCCGCGGTGCCTGGTAAAGGCTACTTATAATGATCTTGAAAAAAATTCATACCTACCACAGACCATCCTTTGCGCTATCATCCCTGGTTGGCAATCCGCAATGAGTCTAGGCTGACTTCCGTTAGCGTCGACAGCAAAGCTCTGATCACCAATTACGACGGAGAAGTCATTGGAACTCGATTTGTTTTTGATTTCCTCGGCTGCGAAAGCGAGGTTTGTGACAGTCTCGGATAGCCTACGTATTGCATCATGCCCTAAATTGAATGGAAGGCAACGATTAATCATGACAATATTAGCCTTAGTCTTATCGTCTTATCGACAAAACCCTCTCCGGGGCATAATGTCCAAGTGAGGTCGACGTGCACGGCAAAGTACGACCGGTGGTGGTGGTGCTCAAAACAATCTGAAAATCTAAGCCATCTGTACAATGTGAAAAAAATGAAAGAAAGGTGCTGGCCGTCTTTTTACCGATGAAGATCTCTCAAACGTACCAAAGTGACAATGAAGAGAAGACGCCATACATTATATTAAATTACAAAACAAAACAAAACGTTTGTTCTTTTAAGATAGAGTAAATGATTTAGAAAACACATCGAGTTACTGCTGTACCATAACCGAGTTAGCTAGCGATACTCATTACTAAACTATAAATACTCTATAGTATTAGCGCCTGCTGTCAAGAACTTCTATAAATAGATAATGAATTTGTAAGACAAAAAAAAATACCTTCAGTGGTTACATTTCCATTTACATCGAGTGCTTCAATGTTAAAAGATCCGCTGACCCCTCCACAAAGTACAAGGACAAGAGATGCTGGCGAAGTGTTCTTCCCAAATTCACCGCAATGATGAACCTGGTATGCAAAAGACATACAACATTATAACAATGTTTAACATACTATATCTTTTAATCCACGCACAAACACACACACACACACACGCGCGCGCGCGCGCACACACACACACACGTGCAGACAGACCGACCAGAGATACACGAACATACACACAAAGATATACACAGATGCACCCACGAAAACACGCACAGATAGACAGAGAGAGAGAGAAACTTACACACAGAGACACACACAAACACACACACGTACACAGGGAGGGAGAGACACACACAGACAGACCAAGAGAGATGTAATAGATAATCGCCAATATACTAAACAATGTATTTAATATCATAATACCTGCACTGTTGCATTGCAAGTATTTCTCAAGACACAGGCTACATCCCGGACATTCTGTGATCCTATGTTTTGGATGGACTCCACGATATGACGACTTTCCTCATCAGATGTGCAGTACAGATCCAGATATTCCATCTCGTATTCAAGGCAATACGTCTTAGGGATTCGTCCATCTATTTCAGATCAGAAGTAAGTAGTTATTCTTCATATTACACTCAAGCATACAACCGCAAAACTAGCTCAACTATTTGTATAAGTATAGAAGAAGAAATTGTCAAGAAAATTTGCAACAATAGAAGGAACAATGATTCTCATGATGAACTAAATACAAATTTAACGCACACCCATTCCTAAGTTGTAATATTCTTTTGGACAATTAAAGGTACACCTAATTTTTTCGCTGGGTTACATTGCGGTAAAAAAAGTTCATCAAATACTTACGGGCACACGACGGAAGTGTGGCATTAGGGTTGTTTTCGGTTTGGTGATTCCATTTATATTGTGATTCTGGCCCGCAGGTATACAGTGGTAACGGTGTTTCAGAAAATTCCAACCCAGGACTACAGTCAATTTGACAATATTTCTTATCTTCTGTGTCATTCCGGTAACAGTCCATGATGACACCGTATGGTGGTTTTAACTCCAGGCAAGCTAAGGGGAAAAGTGGGTTTAAAGTGATAATGAAAACATTAACCTACTTTAAATATATTTAGCATTTAAGGAATGTATTGTACAGTTATAGAAATATTCTAGATAAAGTTGAATTTTACAAAGCAATATATTTGAACAGTAGAACTTTTATCAATAGTAGCATCTGTACAACCGAATCTACAGATACATATAATAA